CACAATTAATAAAAGCTCAGTGACAGATATTGGGGTTCAAGCTGAAGATCCAAAAAGCAACACAGGCAGCCACTGGCTCTTACCTAGACCTCAGCCTGAAATGGCGATCCTGCCTCCAGGAATCTCAGAATGAGTCTGTGTCTGAGAACTGTCTCCTCCTGTTTTATAATCCTCTCTAGGGCTGGGAATAAAGGTGTGCACCACTGGGATTAAAGGCATGCACCACCCGGTTTCTATGGCAAACTAGCGTGGCTACTAGGATTAAAGGTGTGTGTTACCACTGCCTGCTCTGTAAGGCTGACCAGCGGGGTTGTTTTACTCTCTGATCTTCAGGCAAGCTTTATTATTAAAAAATACAAATGAAATGCTTTAAAAAAGAATATGTCCAGCCACTCCCCAGCTACTCCAAATTCCTGTCTTACGAAGTGGTAGCTCCTACTTGCAAGCCCTTTGGTTGCTGGGATGCCATCTGCCCTGAGTGCTCTCCCAGACCCAAATGTGAGGCTGGCTAGCTTTTTATTGTCAATGTGACCTATCTAGAGTCACCAGGAAAAGGAAATCTCTCTTCAGGAGCAGCCCAGATTAGAGATTAGACTGGCCCGGGGCCATCTCGGTGTGTGGGCATGTGGGGGGGGTGGGGTCTGTCTTGCCTGGAAGACCCAGCCCACTGTGGGTGGCACCATCCCTAGGCTGCTGGGTCTGGACTATGTAAGAAAGCTAGCTGAATGAGTAAGCAGTTTCCCGCCTCCAGGTTCCCGCCCATATATCCTCACCAACGGACTGTGACCCGGAACAGTCAGATGAAATACACCTTTTCCTACTTAAGCTGCTTTTGGTCATGGTGTTTATCCCAGTAGCAGAAAGCAGACTGGACACGAGGAGGTGGGTCAGGATACTGAGAAAACAGGCTTCTTTCCCAAGCACAGTCACATCATACAAACCCCCTGCCCGGATACATTCTTCCCTAAGTGCTCCAAGTCCAGAGCTGCCACCCTCCACACCAGTGTCACCAGAGGTTCACCTGGCGAGGTAACCAGACTTTTTGCCCACATCTTGCCTAAGGCTGCACGGTGGCAGATTATAAAGTTAGGCCTTAACAGTATGGAGGGGGGTGTAAGGTCAGGTTGGCCAAACTCTGAAGGAAGAGTAAGGCTGTAAACAGAAAATCCGGGCCTCACAGTAAATCCAGTTCAAGATAAGGTCTTGAAAAGTACTTCAGGAACATCACGTACATCTACAAGCTAACTTCCTTCCCCATAAACCGCAAAGCCCAAGGGGTAAACGTCGGGTGTCCCCTAGAGCCCCACCGCTCAGTGTCGCCTGCCAGTTTTCCACCTTCAAAGTCCCTACAAGAGCTCTGATGCAAGGATCCGGGACCCCCCCCCCCCCCATGAGTACTTTTAGCCTTGGTCAAAGACTTGTGCGCTTTAACTCCCTCCTTCCCTGAGCACAAGTCAGCCAGGACCGCCCAAGATTCTCACTGAACAGAAGAGGCAGGCGCTTAAGCCGCCCTGCCGGTCTGACCAGGTAGTCCTCCCAAGGCCAAGCAAGACAGTCTCTACTGCCCTACACCAGTTCTTCCTTCCCCGTTACATCCGGGATGGAACCGGATGTGGCGAAACCCCCGGCTAGGAAGCCCAGGGAGAACCAAGCTGAGGAAAGCCAACGATGGAGGGGCGTGCAGAGCCCCAGCCTCAGCGCCAGCCTGCCTAGACGCCGTGCTCTGCGAGCTTACGGGAGGGAAGGAGGGAGGGGAACCCGGTCTGGGACGCACGGGTGTTGGAAGCTCGCGGAAGAGGGGTGGGGAAAGCCACGACAGGGGCCCAAGTTACCGTTCCCACGGTGGCCGGCGGGAGCCCACGGCTGCGTCCGATCCTCGAGGAGGGCCTAGGACAGCTTTACGGAAAGCGAAAGTAAAAGTCCAGGAGCTCGAGGGGGAGGAGCGGGAGGGGCAGAAGCGGGCCGGGCGGGGCTGTGCGCACCACTCGGGGAAAGCGGGCCACGCGCGGGAGAGCGCGTCCACCACTGGAAAGCCCTTTCCAGGCCCGGGCGCGCAGGCTGCCTCGGCTCGCCGCCTGGTTTGGGGTCGCTCTGTGAGGTTCGGGCAACCCTCTCCGCGGCACGAAGCAAGCCGCTCTACAGAACTGGCCAGCCGCGGACTCTAAGGAGCTGCCCGCCAGAAAAGTGATCCCCAGAATACCCTCCGCAAATCTGCCGCGTGCTCAAAAAAACTGTGTGCATGGTCCAGTTCTTCGCAAAGCCCCCCAGGAGTGGGGCCCAGCGAGTTGGAGCCACTCCCCTCCCCTCCCTGTCTCACCTGCTAGACTTATGCAAAGTTCCCAGCACTCACCCAGAAGCGCGCGAGTTTGCAAACCGGTTGAAGTCAAGGATCCCGCTGCCGCGCAGTCCCTGACGAAGCGCAGATGGTCGAAGTGCAGATTGACTCAAAGATTTGACGTCCCCTCAATGGCGGGGCTCCTGTTTCGTCATTTTCCCTTTAACGCAATCAGCTCTACAGGATACCGTGCACCAACTGTAGCTTTGGTCAGGTGTCTTTTCAGAAGTTGCTTGGGAGGGGACGCTAAGGGCAGTAATTTTGTCTTTAAGCAAGTCTCCACCTCCTAACTCTGGCTTGCATGGATATTGCACCAAAATCATTCGTGTGTGCTGCCCTGTTCCAGGCACTATGAGGAAGCAGCGTTTCCACAGGTCCTCCTTCATGTCACCTCCAACGTGCGCGCAAACGCCACACACACACACACACACACACACACACACACACACACACACACACCCTGAGCCTCCAAGTCCTCTCTTCAGCTGTCCTAAGAACCGCTAATTAACTACATTCACACTGAAGCAATGGCAGTTTTAGGCATACCAGAGATCCTTGCTTCTAGAACCTGCAAGTCTCTTGAATCACCAGGGCTTTTTTCTTCTTCTTCTTCTTGAGCCTGAGTTTCAGCACTATGTCTAAAATCTTAGCAGGTATGGGCACTTCCTGGACGTCAAGATAGACTCACCCCAGTCAAGTGTGAGGGAATAATTAAAACCAACAGTTCTTAATATGAATGAAGAATTCCATTAAATGAAACTACATTCTGATTTATCCAGGGTGTAAACCTAGACTTTCCAGGTTAGCTCTGAAGTGTGGAAGGGACTTTAACAGTCCATCTGAGCTCATTCAGTAGTGAGGTTTTGAGTTGCCCATATTCAAGCTTGCATGAAGGAGCCAGGTTTGTGGACTATTGTTGTGATAAGCAAAAATGTGCTACATTGCTGCAGAATATGACTTTGACTATGTGAAGGTGTGTTACATTTGTTTATGCTACATTGTTAACGGTGTAAGGATGTGTGTTTAATTAGGCAAAGATGTGTTGCTTTTGTTTCACCTTGTCTTCCTATACCTAATAGCTCTAATAAAAGCTGAGTGACCAGTAGCTAGGAAGCAGAGGGATAGGTAGTGCTGGCAGGCAGACAGACTAAGTAGGAGGAGAAATCTAGACTCAGGAGCAAGAGAAGGAAGAGGAGAGAACAAGGGAGAAAGAGAGGGACACTCCTGGGGTCAGAAATCAGGCACAAGAAGCAGGAAAATAGGACAGGAAGGAAGGAAGGAAAGAAGGAAGGAAGGAAGGAAGGAAGGAAGGAGGGAGGGAGGGAGGGAGGGAGGGAGGGAGGAAGGAGGGAAGAAGAAAGGAAGGAGGGAGGGAGGGAGGAAGGAAGGAGGGAAGAAGGGAGGGAGGAGGGAAGAAGGGAGGAAGGAAGGAAGGAAGGAGGGAAGGTAAGAGGCCCTGAAGCAAGGCATGAGCTAAGCTAAGTCAGAACATTCATAACTAATAAATTATGCAAATATTCTGAACTAAAAGAGAAGCTGAAACCCCAAACACTTCTGGTCCCAAGCATTTTGGATAAGGGTTGTGGTCACCCTGAGGATCAACCTCATGCCAACTGTCTCCCCTCATTTCCCGCCTCCTCACACTGGTCCCTGAATTATAGTAATGAAAATATTCTCCTAAATGAGGTCCCTGAACACTAAGAGAGAAAACTGGAGAAAGATGGTGTGGGTATGAGCCAATTGCAGAGCCTGTTGTCTCAGCCTGTTTCCTACGGCTACAGTAAGGCTCAGCATTTCAGGATGAGTGACATTTGGCTCACAGCTCTGGAGGCAGAGGGCATGACACTGACTTCTGGCAAGGGCTTGCTGCTGTGTCATCCCTTGGCAGAAGAGAGGAAGGCACCGGCAACCTCAGTGTCTCTGTGATGACATTGGTTCACTAATTGCGACTTGTTAGGCCCCATCTCCCAATAGATACCTGGGGATAGAGTATCCAAGACATAAACTTTGGAGGGCACACTTAGAACCCTGCGTCGGCACAGAGGGAGGCCTGTGTTGTTGGTCTTGCCAGAGGTCTTTACTTCTGCATCCTTAAACTGCCCCTCTTCCAGTTCTGTGTGTGCTGTCTCCCTCTAACTCATGAAGCAGAAGACCACTTGAACTGGATATCTCAGCAATTCTCATTTTCACAAGTGGGATAGAGAAGGTGGAGGAGCAGCTGTGAGGTACAGTCAGCCTTCAGCAGGTAGAGCCACTCTTAGCTTTTCCCATTAGGAAATTGTTCCTGATTCATTCTCACAGTTTGGGGGCTCCCACCTAATTTCCCAAGTCAGGCTTGAGAAGTCTGGTACACAGCCAAAACCTCAGGTCTGTTTCCATTGGTTCTGGCTGGGGACCACCCTGCTATCAGGAGGGCAGTTTCACAGTGGGAGGCACCTGAGCCTGGAGTTCTTGCCTGCTTTCTATTTCACCCCCACCCCACCCCCATCCCAGTCTCTGTTTAGGGCGTGGCAACTTCCCTCCCTGCTCTGATTGCCCTAACCTCGCCTAGCCTTAACTCCAGGAAGAGGCCAAAGGTCGGAAGCTGATAGGCTACTGTAAAGGTACTAACTGTAACCCTGTGTAATAGTTTCCACTCCCGGTGTTCTACTTAAATTTTTTTTTAAAAAAAGGAAATTTCATGAGTAAATCCAGATTTCTGGCTTCCATGGGAAAATGAGAGTATTTGGCAATGCCGAATATTCTCTTGACATCTGTTGACTGAGGAGTGTTGCCTGCTATACATGGGGACTTAGGCATCCACTTGAGGTCTGACTGTTGCCTAGGACCTCACGTCTGGCCTCTGGGGGTATTTTGGTGTAAGCATTAAGTTTGCTCCATTAGTTTACTAGATCTAACTGAGAACCAAGGACAGGCCTTATTCCAGACCCTGAAACACACACAAGTTCTAACATGGACTATGGTGTTATATTTATGGTGGAGGTGATTCTGAACAATAGATTCATTCATATTTAGTATTTCCACACAGCAATAACTGCTCTCCACAGGTGGAGGACACATAAAGCAGTCAGGTCCTGGTGGGGACAAGTGGAATGTCACTTTGTAAAGGGTGTCTCTGAAAGTCATAAGGTTGCCTGTAAGCAGAGACTAAAGGCAGTAGAAACTCCCCAAGGCCAGGAGAAGGGATTTTTGTCACCAAGCCACCCCTATTAAGACCTCTGAGACAAGAGAATAAGCAGAAAAGCCTCGAGGAACATTCTAGTCCCAACACCAAGCATTCTTATTTGTCCTTATATATTTTTGAATTCCAGTATAAGTTAAACAGAAATGAGTATCTCAGTAAGTTCTTATTTTGTTACTACAAAATAGATAAAATTCAGATTCGGCATTTATCCTTCTAAGAGGGTGAGTTAGTCCTCTTTTGTTCCCAGGGTTTGGAGAGGTGTCCTGTCTGCATTAGTCAGAGGGGCCACAGCCTGTGTTTCTAATTAGATTCCAAGAGGGGGTACAGCTATTCTTTAGGTTCCTTTTCTGGAGTATGATCATGGCTAGTGTTCACCAGCTCCCCCCACCCCCACTCTCTCTCACACACCCTGAGATCTGGTTATCCACATAAACATGATGCCACCATGAGTTAACTTTTCTATTTTGAGAAGCATGTCAGCTTGAAATACCCCCACCTTGTCTCAGACGCATGCGTGCTGACGGAGTTGCCAAAATTGTCCCTTGAGTAAGTGGCAGCTTTAAAAGCCAACCAGCTGGGGACTCCACAGCAGAAGGTCAGCAAAGGAAAGTAGAAGTTGGATTCTGAAGGCTCAAGGCGTCCTGAGGGGTTTCATAGTGGTGGGATTTTGAAGGCGTGAGCATCTTGACTGGGTTCTGGCTTTCTGGCCTGTTGCTTCTCCCTGGGTACCACACTCCAAGATGAACGTGCAGGCCTGCTCTAGGTGCGGCTATGGCGTCTACCCTGCTGAGAAGATCAGCTGTATAGACCAGGTCAGTGGAGATGTTCTACGGTCTCTGGGAAGATTGACATGCCTGGGACATGTGTCTTCTCACATATAGAGCTCTATTATGATAAGGGAAGGGCGCATTCTACTTTTCTAAGGTTCTACTCATTTCTGTGCCTTCTGTGCTGCTTCAAGAAAAAAAAATGTTTCATTTTAGCATGTTCTACTCAAGTGTATAGTTCATGAATTTTAGTTTCATTTTATCCATGATCCTCAACTTTTTACCTTAAAGTCTGTGAGCCCCGAGTCGGGAGGAAGACCACTAACTGTCCGTTTTTTTTTTCTGTGCCTTCCAGACATGGCACAAGGCGTGTTTCCACTGTGAAGTCTGCAAGATGATGCTCTCTGTTAATAACTTCGTGAGTCACCAGAAAAAGCCGTACTGTCACGCGTAAGTGTCTGATAGCCAGCCCCCACGGCTTGGCTTCTGGTTTCCAAAAAGTAGCCAACTGAGGGATCTGGTTCTCAGCTACAGGCTGGACTCTATGCACCCCCTCTGGGAAAGACTCAAATCTAGTCACGGAAGAGCCCTAATGTGGGACTTAGTCACGGAAGAGCCCTAATGTGGGACTTTGGCGAAAGACCAGCTGCCCCATTGTAACCATGTGTCAGATTATAAAACCTGTAGAACGCGGCAACAAAGATCTGAATAGATGGGGCTCTAGAAGTGCTCTTAAGTGATGTCCAGATCTATGCCCGCCCTCAGTGAAAATTACCTCCATGTTACGTGTGTTGAATTCACTTATGTTTATGAGGGATAAGATTTAGTGGGAAACCATGAGCTATGTTCTGGAGTTTTGTGCTCATCCATCTTAAGAGACCAGTTTTCCAAGAAGTCACTTGTCCCTCGGATCAAGCACTTTTCTAATTTCGATTTCCATTGCATTTGCAGCCATAACCCTAAGAACAACACTTTCACTAGTGTCTACCACACGCCTTTAAATCTAACCTTGAAGAAGCCTGTGGCCGCCACGGGTGGGGTAAGTCACTTAGCTTTGCATTTTGAAATCACCTTTAAGGGAATGCCTTGGGCTCAGACCCCTGCTGATTGTTAAGTGATTCTGTTTATACACAGGCCAGTTCACTTGCTCTTCACACACTCAGAGTGTTTATAACTGCTCTTTGTCCTACCACAACAGTGGAGACCAGTACACAGGTCCTTGGTTCTAGCATAACCTTTGTGTCTGGCCAGCCAGGACACAGTGATTATCACTTTGTATTATAGGCCTTGCATACACTAGGTAGTTAATACATAATCGGAAAAGGTTTCAAGGAGTCCTTCTTTTTTCCCTCTGTTGTATTTTGGAGTAGAAAACCAAAGCCCTCCGGGTCCACACTCCATAACTCCCTTGAATGAGCGGCAGTTTATGATTATCCAGGGATAGCTCAGAGATATTTTAAGAAATGAAGTTTGCTTTGGGAGGTAGGTGAGAGGGCTAGGCAGGCGAGGGTGGTGTGCTCGTACGTCCAAGCGTGTGCTCTGTCACCCGCCCAGCTGTTGGGAGCGTCGTATCTATTAATACGCTGCGTCATCGGCCTTCGTCTCTCTACAGGCCCATGAGACGTTGCTCTGTGGCATAGAAATTTAGGCAGATTTCTAAAATTAGGGATGACCCAGCAGGTGCAGGGCTCTCTAGTAATCTCTCTTCCTGGCACCACCCTGTTTGCGTTGACTCTGGCACTCGCTGGGCTGTCCTTAGGAAAGTCTGTTAATGCGGCTGGGCTTGCATGTGTCGTCTCTGCGGCTGCTGTCACCAGACCTCCCTCCCTAAGCACGCGGCATTAAGTTTGTATTTAACAAGCGCATGCAGTACTGACTGGAAAATCAGTCACTTCATATATAAGCCAGGGGAGCTGATACTGTTCTTATCTCACTCTCGAGATGTACAAACCTGTACAATCCCATCCAGATCTTGGCGTACAAATCCAGATCTGTCTGGCTGCAGAGTCCATATGATTGGCCCACTTGTATACACACCTGGAAGGTGGCAAACTGCAAAAGCCAGAAAAATGAAAACTTCATGTATCCAGAAGTTTCTGTGGTTGTGTTCAGGGAGAAGGACTTGACCTCAGAATGCATGTGTCATGCTCTGTACAAAGAGATCTGTGCTGTCTGCCATTTCCTGGCCTCCCTCAAGCCTCAGCTGACAGGGCTGTCTTAGAGTTATACAAGGAGGCACACAGTGTTTACCTTTCCCTGGGCAGCGGAGGGCTCGCTTCCTTTTAACTGTGTATGACAGTCCTAACCTGGAAGGATGCGTGGGTAATCTATTACTCTCCTTTAGATCCCAGCATGCCTGACAGTGTCTATTTTGTTTGCATCTATATGACCATGTGACAGTGTGTACGTGTTCCTATGTTTGCACATGGGCAGTGTGTAAGGGTGCTAGCAAGTGTGACCAGACATACATGCACATACAGACACATGATACACGTCCTGCTGTATATATGTATACTTTCATGGGTATTGTATGTTTATGGTATGTTTGAATATATACATATGTGTATATATGTGTATGTGGTATGCATATATGCATGTATGAGTCTGTCTGTGTGTGTGCAAGTATATTTCTGTGTATATATGTGCATTTTTGTATTGTGTGTATAGTGTGTGCACATATAAAAAAATTATTATTGAGACCCCGTTCTCCAATTTTTTTCATTAGGAAAAACTGAAATAAATAATCATGTCCTTTTTAGGCCCCAAATCTTTGAGCTACCCTAGGGTGTGTGATGAACAAATTCTTCAACACTACCCTTCAACTCTTTGAGAAACACAGCCAATTCAAAAAGAAATATATTCAGTGCTTATGTGCTAGAATTTTCAAAGGAAGGAAAGGCCTACTTCAGTGAGAGTGGGGATAGGGGAATTTGGGTAAAGACTTCAAGCTGGCATAAATCTATGATTTGTCATAGACATATGATTTTCTGCTTCACAAGTGTCATAAAAAATGTTTATTAAGCCAGAAGTTCCTGTTTTCTGAGAGTGGATGGAATGTCTATGGCTTCTGTTCAGAGATCGAACTTGCTATTCAGCATCCCCAGTGGCATGGCAGCTTTGGCTTCTCGCCTCACTCAGTCCAGTGGCTGTGACTGTCAGTTAGGGCTGACAGTGCTGGGCAGGGGTGGCAAGGTGGCTTTCTGAAAGTGCTCCGCTTGTTTTGGTCATACGTTGCTTTTTCCTTAAGTCATGATTCTCTAGCAGGGTCCTTTTACCCACGACATTTGCTGATTGGAGACTCTATCACTGTCTCAATTTGGAGGGAGGAATTATTGCACCTGGTGGGGAACCTCCTGCCATGATCAGGGAGTCCCCAAGACAAAGACTTAGCTATGTATCAGGAACCCTGCCTTGAGGTTCTGCTCATGACAGTCTCTCCAAGTCCACTGATAGTCTCCCGTGGATCTGCACCAGACAGTAAGCAGTCGCAGCCTGGGAAGTCAAAGACAGAAGTGTCCTTGCCTGGAAACCGGAACTCCTAGGTTTAATTTTTCTCTCTGCCCCTGTTTCTCCATTGTCTGTAAAACGGAGGATTTAAACTTCAGCTTGTAAAAACTGAAGTTTTGGGGCTCCATCTCAGATCCAACAAATTGTGATATCTTGGCTTTGGATCTAAGAACTTGCTGATTTTTTTTCTTATTATGAGTCCTTCCATGGAGTTCTCTTTAAGAAACTTTTGCTTTCCCCCAAATCTGGAGGTATTGACCTGCCAGTTCTCCCCAAATTGATCTGGATGGGGACACGATATTGTACATCTGTGCCTTTGCCATCAGAGTTGGAATCATTGTGTGACTTATAGATCCTGCCGGCGGCCTATCATAACCGTGTGAAAATATGAAGGCCCGGGGACAGTAAGAAATCTGGAGGAAGATAGCAGAAGGACTTAGTTTACCAGTTCTCAAGATCTACTATAAAAGCAACATCTTGTCACTTAGTGCACTGAGCCAAAGACAGACAGTAGATGAGATATCACAGTCTTGCAATGACACCAAGCACCACCGCAGTTCACTGTCAAAAGAACGCTCTTTAGGCCACTTGTTGGAGAGACTGAGGCTTGCACACTTGCTCACAGCTAAACGGCTGGAGAGTCATAGGACTAGATATGGGGGGGGGGTAAGTTGGCTCCTATACTAATACTACACACAGAAATCAACTAAAAGGGTATTTCCAGTCAAAACAGGGAAGGAATAGACTTACACGGAAATACAAAAGGTAGACAGACTCCATGACGTCAGAGAGCCAGTGCTTTATCTAGCTGGGTGGATGGTAAGTGACGGATTAATGGAAAGAAAGCCACATGGAAAGACTTTCCCGTGTGTAAGTTTGTGGAGAATTTTGATGTGGGGTTCCCTTCTGCATGCTGTGAATATGTTTTATTACCATTGGTTAATAAAGAATCCCACATCAGAATTTAGCTTAAAAAGCTACATATTCACTTGTTTCCGTGTGCGTATGTATGTGCGTATGAGCATTTGTGCCTGGGCGGACACATGTGGTTAGAAGGCAACTCGTGGGAGTCAGCTCCCTTCCCCCACCTCGTGAGTGTTGGGGATTGAATTCAGGGGGTCAGGGCTGATGGCGAGTGCCTTCACTAGCTGAGCCAGAGCCACCTCTATCTTTTTGACTGCACCACTCAAGAGCACTTTACCCACAGCAGGGGTTCCATACCCACCACCTGGCGGGTGGCACAAATGAAGCCACAGTGGGACCAATAACGCAGTGAGCTTTGTGGTACCGCTAAGATGCCTCCCAGCTGAGACTTGGAAGGACCGCCCCAATTTAGCTGTGCACCGCCTATTCTCTCTCTTTTCTCCGATGGAAATCTTACGGTCACCACTTTCACTGTGTACAGGTCAATGGCCAAGAAGATGGTAAGCAGGTAGAATCCGTTTTCCACTGGGACATGAAGTCCACGGATGGAGCAGGCGCACCTAGTGGGCAGCCACTGCTGAGTGAGGTGAGTGTGGAAGGGAGAGGAGGGGCAGACCAAGCAGAAGACCACTATTGCTGTCACCCCTAAGGGACCACTAGCTCATCCTTTATACACCGTGTTGCTCCATCTGTCTTTAGACCTCCATTAATCCTTCCTGAGGGCACCCCAACTGTGTCTGCCCAGCTCAGATTTGTCACTTTCTGTCCTCCAACCTCAGGGTTTCTGTCACCAGGAACAGTGGCCCCAGTTTGTGGCCAGTGTTGCTCTTCATCCCGTGACACTCCCCCTGACCCCAGGCCTTCCTCTCTGTCTCTCTGTCCCCCTCCTCTGAATCAGCCATTCCTCCCTGGTCCTGTAAGGGCCTCCTAAAATGGCTCTGCCTGCCTCTGCCTCCCACATGCTGGGATTAAAGGTGTGTGCCACCACACCAGGCTGTAAGAGATTTGTTTGTTTTTATGGTGGCCCATTTCCTCCTCCTTTAGCTCTTACATTCTTCCTTCCCCCTCTCCTGTGATTTTCCTTGAGCCTTGGAGGGGGTGATATAGATGCATGTAGGGCTATGAATATACGATTATTTATTCTGGGAACTTTGACCAGTTATGAGTCTGTGCCCTAACTGCTGCATGTCTGACCAAGGCTGAGAGCATCACTAACCTGCGGCTACAAACTTCAACATGCAGGACAGTAGTACATGCCCCTACTGCCAATGGCCTCTCTGGCCTTGGTATCTTGACCAGGTCACAATACCAGATCCATGTGTGTCACAAGTTCCCTCCTGTAGAGAAAGGGTCTCAAATCAAGTCAGAAAACAAATTTATCACCTATAAAATTGTGGCAATTGTGAAGATTAAAGAATAGATAAATGCAAAGATGTCAGAGTAGTGTCAGGTGCAAGAATATCAGCTATTATTATTTTTATTGATAATTATATGCCAATGTATTTTTCATTAACCAATGTGCATTATTTTTTTGTTGTCTTTCCACTCCACAGACACTTGAGAGCTAGGTCCACATCAGCACCTTTTAAGCGTGTGGATGTGTGTCAAGGATGCATCATTGAGAGAAGATGCAGGGTGTTGCCTTATTGGTGGGCAGGGCTCTCTGCTCTTACACATGATAACGTTGCAATAATTACTCTTTTGGATACGGGGGTGTGTTCCTAGAACAGACAATGAAAACTGAGGTTGTGTTGGCCAAGCATACATGCCTTTTCATTTTCATGAAGGTTGTCGATTGCTCTTGCATACAGGTTACCTTAAAATGCTTCATTCTCCCTAAAGTATGTGTAAACACACACAAGTTTTTTAGTGGTGATTTACTTCTTTTGTTTTATTCCTGAAGTTTTACAGCAAATGTTTTAAAAGAAAAATCTTTTTCTTTTTCCTTTGGTTTTCCCATTGACAGATACAAAAAAAGTAGTAAGCTTTCGAAATTTTGCTGGGTAAAGCTACTTACTCAGACCTGCCTAAGGTGACCTCTCCCTGTCCAGTCTTAGTACACAGAGGAGCAAAGAAATATTTTATTGCATAGGGAAGGTTTTGTAACATAGAAGATCTCAGGGAATTGTTAGTCAAGATATTAGGTCATTTTCTTGTCTGAAAACCAGGAGCAGTTTGGTTGACTGAGACCCTGTATGTGTTTAGGGAGCGATATGCTTTTTAGAGAGCAGATTATCTTCATAGTGAAGGATTGCTGGGGTTGGGTGTGGTGGGCTGTGGGGGGAAGTGTGGGGTGGGCTGGGGGGAGGGTGGGATGGACTGTGGGGTGGACTAGGGGGTGGACTGGGGGAGTGTGGGGTGGACTGGGAGGTGGACGGGGGGGGACTGTGGGGTGGGCTGGGGGGAGTGTGGGGTGGACAACCAAGCAGGCACAGAATGTTTCTGGACGCATGTGCCTGCTTTCTTTGTAGAGAGACTATTGGCCAGGGTACGGAGACAGGAACACTTGGTGTCCAGGAGATCTTCCAGACCCTGAGATCGTAAGGATGGTTGAAGCTCAGTCTCTTGGTGAGGTAAGGGCTTATGAACCACTTGCAGTCAGTAGGTAACAATTCCTTTACATATTCCTTTATTTGTAAGATTGTGATGGAAAGAACATCTGCCCTTGTCTTGACTTGACTAATGTCTTGTCACCATGGAAAAACCCCCTGACGGGGGATGTTTGTTTTTGGCTCATGGATGCAGGGGTCTCAGTCAATCATGGCAGTGACTTGTTCACAGTGTGTACCAGGAGACAGAGAAATGGCTTCTCTCTGTCTCCGCCCTTCTTTCTCCCAGCATTTACTTAGTTTTCCCCACCTAGCTCTGTTCTTCTGCCCTATCACAGGCCAAGACAGTTTCTTATTCATCAACTAATAAAAGCAACACATAGACAGAGGACCTCCCACACCAGGAAGGGAGATGTCTAGCTATAATGCCCCTCTCCCCAAGATTCCCATGTCCCAGTCTGTGGATCTTGTTACTCAGTTTTCTTACACATCAAAGACACTGTCCAGATGTGATTATGTTAAGGATCTCATGGTAATAAGGAGAACCTGGATTCTGAGGGTTGCCTCACAAGGTTCTCTCCAGCCAGTAGACAGGGAGGACAGGGCCAGAGGAAAGTTACTGTAGTGACAGAAGCAGAGATCAAAGCCATGTCAGGTCAAAAAGTGAGGACCACGGGGGCCTCTGAAGAGAGAAGGGGAAGAGACGGATTCTCCTCGTGTTCCAGAAGGAGCTGGTCCTGATGCCCACAGTAGACTCCTCACCTCCAGAACCATGAGGGAGGAGTTCAATGGTGCTGGAGCAGAGAGGGTTGGGAGAAACCCTTCACTGCAGATGGTGCCCTTGCTTCTTCTCTACACAGCCCATACAAAGCTTCCCATTGAAGACCCTGCTGGGGAAATTACAATTAGTTTTTGTAACTTTTTCCTTTGGAAAACAGACAGCAAGATAAACAGAGTGCTGAGGTCATATTTCTCATTAGAAAAGTTACCCCTCGAATTGCTCAGAAAAAGATGAGACTTCTCTCTTCCTGTGCTGTAGAACTCACTCTCCCTGGAGATGAGCTCCAGCCGAGTCTCTTGGATTAATGGCCACACTATGATACCAGGGCACCCGAGGAAATTGTACCAGGCTCCCCATAAAATGATATAAACACTAGAGGTGATGCCCTTTGACTTGGGGACTGTGGGTCCTCCGTCTAGAGGGTGTTATTTAAGGAGATAGATTGATGCGTTTCCCATGAAGGGGATGAGTCCAGTGTCTCTGATGTCATTGTATCTCATGAGCTCTCATCCAGCACCCGGCGGGTCCTCATGCCTCTGTGGTCCCTCAGCAGGGCTATCCAGAAGACTGTGAACAGCAGCAAGGCAAGGGGAGCTTCCCAGCCATGATCACACCTGCCTACCAAAGGGCCAAGACAGCCAACCAGCTGGCCAGCCAGGTGAGAGTCCCTGGCCTCACTTGGATCCTTGATGAGGCTAACTTTCGACATGAATGCAGCCAGCCCTGCAATTCAGGAGAACAATACAAAGAACGTTTTATAGGGTTGTGAAAACCAAGTTTTCCTTATAATGTGTTTTGATTGGGCCACATCTACAGACTGTGGAAAAGGGAAGAATGCAGAGGCCACAGAACTCAGCCAAAGACTCAAATAAATGTTCCTCCAGGCTGCTGGTTTTCCTTAGAGTGGACACAGATCTACCTGGAGAGTGGCATAGCTTATGGGTTAAGAGCTCCGGCTTTAGAGACGGAAACTTATGATTCGAATCCTGGCTCTTTCAAACATTTGCTGTGTAGCTCTGGTCAAATTACTTAGCTTCTCTGCCCCTTAGCTTCTTGCTCATGGTAAAGAATAGTCCCACTAAATGTGATTGTTGAAATGGTCACGGCATTTTGAAATGTTGAAATGGCATGCTATTTAGTGACACTTAGAAGTGCCTGGTACTCTATATTGGCACATCAGCAAAGAGAACGTTTGTGAGCACAGACTCGGTTTGTTTTGTGCATGCCTGAAGGTTTAGCTTCTGGAGAGCTGTAAGGCAGGGTCCTCCCCAAGGCTTGAGGTAGGTGTGACACGGCTTTGACTTGGCTTCTCCTTGCCAGGTACAATACAAGAGAGGCCACGAAGAGCGCATCTCCACGTTCACTCCAGTGGCAGACACTCCTGAGCTGCTACGGGCCAGAGCTGGGGGACAGCTTCAAAGTGACGTAAGAAACGGTGTAGGAGGGCTGGGGAAAATGGATCAGTGAACAAAACATTTGCCATGCGAGCCTTAGGACCAGAGTTCAGATCTCCACAGCCCTTTAAAGATCCAGACAAGTACATTGCGCGGCTGCAATTCCAGTGCTCGGCAGGTGGAGATAAGGGTTCCTGGAACAAGCCGGGGAGCTAGAGTAGCTAGAATCAGAGAGCTTCACATTGAGTGAGAGACCCTGCCTCAATACAGAAGGTGGAGACCAATCAAGGAAGACACTAAACATCAACTTCAGGTCTCTCTATGTAAGCACATATATGCAAAGGAGCCTGCAGACATGTGTACCCATCCTCATGTGAAGACACATACACACAAACATGTGTACCACACACATATGAAAAATGACTTGGTCTAAGGCATGATGGTCCTTACTTAAGATCGCTCGTTTTTTGTTATCTGGAGGAGAGGGAGGGAAGAATGGAGGAGGAAGCCTGATCCCTGCTGGGCACCAGAAAGAGCTTCCTGAGGTCATTGTCATAAGTCAGCCCTGGCCGACCTTGAAGAAACTCTTTGAACAGAATGCACTAGGTTACATTTGCACCCAGCCAGGCAGTATCAGATGCACGTGAGAGAAACCTCTCCAGCCACTGCAGGCCCGAGAGGCTGACTTCTGAGGATGTCCCTTTTCCACCATTGTCCCTTCTCATAGCCCACACGCTCCACCATGTGCTAGGTCCAAGAACCCAGTGTGGTTCTGAATGGAAGACGGGAGCACAAATCCAGCTTTGTGGCTGAGATCTGTGACAGAGAGGACCACTCTGTGTCCTAGACTTGACATTAGCTCCTCAGAGACAGCCTTCCTGCTTTGCTCCACAGCCCCAGCCCTGGCCCCCAGCCCCAGCCCTGGCCCACAGGCCGGGGCTCATGACACTCTGCGTGGACCCCCTCAGATGTCTATTGGGACTGCGGTGGGGCATTCACTGGTTTCTTTTGAACTACGCAGGTGAGATACATGGAAGACTGCGGAGCTCCGAGAGGAAAGGGCAGTTTTCCCGCCATGATCACACCGGCTTACCAGATAGCCAAGAGAGCCAGTGAGCTGGCAAGCGATGTAAGTACCTGTGGCCATGTCGTCGTGTTAAGGAGGAAGCCAGAACTTAGCCTGGATCAGGAAGTCAAACTTGCTGCCAGTTTTTACATGTTTGCCAGGACCAGGAAGTACCTTTCCCTCACCATTGTCAGCCATTTCCCCTGTGACAGTGACCTGCTGCTTCAGCCTGAGCCGCATGCCTTAGATCCACACAGACAGAGGGCCCCACGAGCATGTATTTTTACTCTGTGACCCTCATAACGAGACTCATTGATTTTTTTTCTTACCCTCCAAACAGGTGAGGTACCATCAACAATATCAAAGAGAAATGAAGGGAAAGGCTAGTTCTGTCGGGGCTGAGGGCGGCGTGACCAAGGAATGTACAGACCAGTATGGCCAGGTATGTGGTACTTCTGGGAGAGGCCTTGGTCCTCTCCAAAGCCAGATCGGTTTGTCCCCTACAGCAGTGACAGCCATGGACATATGATCGGGACATATGATCAATATACAGATCACAAATCCCAGCACCTTGAAAAGCAGAGCCTACACCAGTGTAGTGACTTGGCCAGTAATAAGACATTTTCATCTCTTCACTGAAGGACGATTACTAGGAACCAAACTGGTTGGGTTAAGCACTGCATGAGCATTTGAGGGGCTGAGGGGCTGGCTTTGTGGGTGAGAGTGCTCGCTGTGTTAGAGAGAGAACTTCAGCTCAAATCTCTACCACCCACATTTATAGAAAAAGAGAGAAAGAAAAAACCTGGTCTTTGCCATGTTCAACGATAACTCCAGTGCTGTGCAAGGGGGAGACACGGGGATCATTGGGGCTTCCTGGCTGCCAGCCTAGCTTCCGTTTCAATGAGAGACCCCCATCTCTAGGAAATAGGGTGCAGGGTACTAGAAGTCCCCCTTTGGTCTCTGCACACATGCACCCCTGCACATGTAATACACATGCACGTTCAACATACACACCCCAAAATGTTTATCTTATTGAAAATATTGAGTATTTCCATAAGTAACAGAAATTACTTCCTTAGGAAGTAAATAGTTCATCTAGTTTACTAGATAAAGCAGTATGATCTAGGTTACAAAAGGCTTTATTCTACTTGATTTCTGGTTACACAGCACACATGGCTGATGGGGAGCAGTGCGGAGATGTCAAAGCGCCTTCTGCAGAGATCTGCTATTGGGTCTAAACAAAGTAGTGTTTGAGACTAACGGAATGCAACCACCATGGATATTCAGTGGCAGCATGGGGTGGGAGAGTCCCTTGGCTTATTGGATATTGTGATGATTGATAAGAATGAGGGTGACAGTTTTTTATGTATGCATGTATGAACGAATGAATGTATGCATGCATGTATGTATGAATGAATGAATGTGTGTATGTATGTATGCATGCATGTAGTATGTATTATATAGTGGTTCCGGCTCCAGGACCTAGTGTCTTAGCACCACATGGTACGTCTTTGGTAGTCCCTGAAATGTCCCCTGTGGATGAGCTTTCCTGAGATCAGGCTCTTGAGCTATCTATCACTGCTGAGGACCACGCATGTCAAGCGGGACACATTACTGACCAAAGCTTTTGATTGACTCATCAGGTTTACTCAGAAGAGTGTGATGAACCTCGGGGAAAGGGCAGCTTCCCAGCCATGATCACCCCAGCTTATCAGAATGCCAAGAAGGCCAATGAACTTGTTAGTGATGTAAGTACTGGCAGAGTCATGGGAAGTGGAGACATGGGAATGCTGGGGGCTGCACTTACTGCTCCATGGGGATACGGGAATGCTGGGGGCTACTCTTACTGCTCCATGGGGATACGGGAATGTTGGGGGCTGCTCTTACCGGTAGCCACACTCAGACATCTCTTAGAGTCAAGTGAAAGCAGAATATGCTAGTGTCGCCGCAGGTCCAGATTCATGGTGTCTTCTTGAGCTGCTCGTAGACTTTGAGCCCATTTATCTGTCCACATGGAAATGAGACTAGACAAACTGTCCTGCTCATGTGTCATTTGAAAAGGTACAAATGCTGGTCCAAGCAGATCAAAACCCATCGTGAAACCAAAGCCCCATTGTGAAATTGAGCCTTTTAGGGGAAAAGCTTACTGAAAGGATGTAACAAGTCTTTCTCTGTCCCACCAGCCAGCTCCCAAATAGTGACACGGAGACTTATTACTAATTATGAAAACTCGGCCTTTAGCTTAGGCTTGTTCCTAAATAAGGCTCATAACTTATATTAACCATTTATAGTAATCTGTTTTGCCTCGTGGCTCTTTACCTCTCTTCCATCTTGCACCTCCTGTTTCCTCTCTGTGTCTCCTGTTGGCTCCTATGTAGGACTTGATTATCTCTACCCTCTTCCTGTCTCTGCCTGGAAGTCCCACCTATACCTAGCTATTGGCTGTTCGGCTTCTTATTACACCAATCATAACACATACATCTTCACACAGTGTACAAATACCCCACAACGAAAGAAGTCAGGTGATTATCAAATTGAGTGTGACCCATTGAGTGATAAGTGGTTTTTATTTGGAGAATGTTAGCAGATAGCAGTCCTTGAGAGACGGGCTATAATTAAACTTGGTAAAGTGTGGCACCCTTTGCAGTTCTTAACCTGGCCACTCAGACGTGGTCTCTGATTGGAACCTAGTTCATCTCTCCCCTTTACTCTTCTTCTTCTTCTTCTTCTTCTTCTTCTTCTTCTTCTTCTTCTTCTTCTTCTTCTTCTTCTTCTTCTTCTTCTTCTTCTTCTTCTTCTTCTTCTTCTTCTTCTTCTCCGCCTCCTCCTCCTCCTCCTCCTCCTCCTCCTCCTCCTCCTCCTCCTCCTCCTCCTCCTTCTTCATTCTGCCACCGTTCAGTGAGTACCCAGTAACCCAGGACAGCACCACCTTTGCCCCAGGAAGGGAAATGCAAGACTTTACTCCTTTCTCTGCAGACAAAGCAGAAATGGTGTTGGAATTGAGGGCAGGCTAGGGTTAGAATTTCTCCTTATGGTGGTCACCTGAGGTACCTCTTCCCCTTTCTCCAGGCAGAGTTAAAGGGGACAGGAAGAGTTTTAATATGAAAAAGAATCAAGTGATTTCTAAATTTAATAAAGGATTTTAAAGAGTCCAGAGAAATCTTCCTTCCTTTAGAGAATTCTAGCACGTCTGTCCGTGTTAACATTACATCGGGGGTTATTTCAGATTTCTCGTGTGGCAGCCACAACCCCAGACTCTCTGTGTGTGCTCCTTCCAGATAAAATACAGGCAGGACTTCCAGAAGATGAAAGGCGCCGCGCATTTCCACTCGCTCCCGGCCCAGGACAACTTGGTTCTTAAGCGCGCTCAGAGTGTGAACAAGCTTGTGAGTGAGGTGAGTGTTGGGGAAAGCCATTCTCCTGTACGCTTCCCCTTTCTCCAGTGGATGCAGTGGCCCTGTTGAAAAATGCCGCTGCTGCTGGCACTTCTATAGCCCTGGCACTTACTGGGTAAGTGAGGCAGGAGGGTCAGGAGTTTAGACCCAGTGAGTCAGAGGCCAGCCTATACTACGCGAGACCTTGCCTCAAAACAAACAAAATGAAACCACACATATTGCCTGCGTGTTACCTGTTTCCAAATCAGGCGTACACAGAACCAAACAAGTTAAATCTTTCTCTGTTGGTTCAAAACTTTCTTACTAAATATTCAGAAGTGCCAATCAACAGATCTGTAGATGTCAGAGCAAATACTATGTGATACAACTTTTAGAGATTTATTTCAAGTTTTAATTGTGTGTGCGCGCGCGCGCGTGTGCACAAGCACATGTATGTGAATGCAGGTGCCCTCGGAGGCCAGATGAGGGTACCAGGTCTCCCTGAAGCTGGAGCTACAGGCAGTTATGAGCCACCCACTTGGGAAGCAAACGCAGGTCCTCTGCAAGAGCAGCAACTCTCATCATTGGACCGTCTCTTTTTCCTGCCTCTGAGCCATCTGTCTAGCTCCTATGCTCCAACTTTTAAAACTATAAGTTGTTTCATTCGTTTGGAGTCAAAGTCTAGGAAGACTGTTGCAAACTCCGTATTTCTCTTATCATCACTGGAGTCAGAGTTGAGAGAAGCTGTGTCTACCACAGGAGTTCCCCTTTCCTTCCAGGCTGGCCTGGCTGCTCAGGGGTGCACATTGCTTGACCCACCCCATGTTTAAGCCTTAGTTGGCAAGAACATTTGTCCTCTAGTTCCCTGGAGCTCTATTGTCCCTTCATGGTGGCTCCTGTCAGCTGCTGTTCAGTACTTGAAGACCTGTGAGTGGCAGCTCTGACTATGGGAAGATTTGTGGCTATGAAAAGTGCCCGGTGTCATGTTCTCTGAGGCTCGGGCCCTGAGATGCAGGTATCTTGGAACACCCTGTTACTTCTGTAAGGCCTTGATCTCAAACCAAGCTGATCGGTGACCCTCTGACCTTTGGCCTTTGAATGCTCAGAATCAGACTTTTCTGAGCCTCACCAGGAGCCTTGGATGCTTTGAGATGGTAACCAGGTGCTGAGAGCTTAGAAGTTCTAGATGATTCTAATATTCTAGAGCAGATGTCGGCACACTACGGCCTTGGCTTCAGTTCTAGCTCATGGCCCAGGTCTAGCTCAGGGCCTGTTTTTATAGATGAAGTGTTCAGGACACAGTGACCTCATTATCTGCGTACATACTGCTTTTGGCTGTCATCAAGATCTCACGGGTGAACATGAGCACTGACATAGAGACTGTGTGGAGGGCCAAGCCTGAAATATTCGATCTGTTTTGTTAGCTATATGATAGAATAATGATCATATTAATATATAATTAATATTAACATATAATACTATATATGATACATATAATATCATTTTGTTAGCTCTGGTAGACCTGTGCAGTCATTGGACCATCTCTTTTTCATAGCCCAGAAAAGGAAAGTTTCTGGAGTGATATAGAGATCTCAGGGACAGAGGTAGAACAAGAGATCGTTGAGCAGGTGGAGGAAAGGAACAGCTCAGGCACCCAGGAGGGGTAGATTCACCCAGGAAAGAGCCACTCCCTTTTCTCCGTGAATATACATAATTGAACATATGACTATCAAGACATGTATTTATAGGGCCTGGAGATATGGCTCAGTGGGTAAAATGCTTGCCACACAAACAAAAGGACCCAGGTTTGGTGGCTCCTTAGAACCCAGTCAAAAGACAGAAATGGTGGTGCAAACTTATAACTGCAGCACTGTGGGTGGGAGGGTGTGGGGTGGGACCCGGGGAGCAGAAGCAGCTAAGTCCTGGGAAGCTGCTCTCCGGCCAGTGTGTCTGAAGCAGCAAGTTCCAGCATGAGACCATGCCTCACAAAAAAAAAAAAAAAAAAAAACGAGGTAAGATGCTCAACACGGACCTCTGGCCTCCACATGTGGACTTATGAGTGTGTGTATGTGCACACACGCAGTTTAAACGTTTGTTCTGTGTGGCTGTGTCTGTACCTGAGTGTATGTTTATGTGCCATGTGCATACCTGGAGGTCAGAGAGCATTGGATCCCTGGAGCTGGACATTCTCCATGTGGGTACTGGGAACTGAACCCAGGTCCTCTGGAAGAGTGGTGGCCTCTTCACACAGAGCCATTTCTCTAGCTACCCATCTCGCCCCACTTTAAGGAACTATCTCTAGCGGTAGGATTCAAATGCATACATTTTCAACTATACGTCATTTGTCTGCATTGAAATGCACCTTGCACACCTTTAGAAGGTGTAGCTCCGCCATATGGTTTTTATCAGGCCCTGTCACCATTTAAGAGGCATTTCCTTTGGTGAGTGATCCCACTGGCACTTTCTGTTTTGTTTGTCCCTGTGATTATCAGCCCTGTCTCTCTTGGTGGTGCTCACCTTAACTGCTTTCTGTGGTTACCTGGGACTGATAACAATAGCCTCCCATCCTGCAGTTACTCGGGACTGTCTGTTGGCTAACAATGGCCTCACATCCTGCGCGCGCGAAGCACAGGGGGGCTCCTATGCCAGCCCATTTTAAATTAAAGATGGCTTGCCTTGGAATGGGTTCTTCCATCGTATTCCTTTGTAAAGTATTGTTAAATTTTCCTGATGTGTTCACAAAGAGACCTTCATGTGGGTCTAGAGTGGGAGGAGTTTCTCAAGTGGACTCATCTCTGCAGTGGGCTCTCAGATTTAACAGGGCATGGCTATCACATAAACACGCAAGGCATTTTATTCCAAGGGCACCCACGCCATTTATAAAACCATTTTGGCCACCATCATTATTGTTGATATTTGGTGCTGCAGAACAACCCCAGAGCCCCATACTGGGGACACTCACTGACACCTAAGTTACAACCCAAGCCCTGGGACACTCACCATCACCGGGTTACAACCCAACCCGACTTACAGTTCTTGATCTGTGCAAAGAGTTACAGTACTTGCTTTTGAGAAGGGCTACATATTTGTAATTTTCAGAATGAGAGAATGATATAACTTGCTTTGCTATTTATTTTTATAGAGGAACACACACACACATACACACACACACACACATTTTTAGTATCCTCTGCCCTACTTTAAATCTTGAGTTGAAAGTTTTCTAAAATAATATCCCAGTCAAGTCTTGGGGCTTTTTTCAAGAATGATGTCCGGTTTGGTTCTACTAAGCACCTGGTGTTCGGTTTTCCAAGGTGGAGTATAAGAAGGACCTGGAAGGTAGTAGAGGTCACAGTATCAACTACTGTGAGACTCCCCAGTTCAGGAATGTGAGCAAGATCTCAAAATTCACCAGTGATGTGAGTTATTCCTGAGCCATCTGTCTGGGCATGTTTTGTGAGCTGAGCTTCTGTGTCTCCTGAGAGACGGTCTTGGTGACTATATCCATGTGTCTTGGAGAAGCATGGCCTCCCGGGTGCATGGTACCTTGAGTGTTGGTTAGGCATGTCTTCTGGGGTTAGTCTGCTTGTCACCAAATGATGTCACAACCCCAGCATTCCCTGCTTGCCCGTATGTGACCGAGTCCTCAAGGCAGGACTGTGTACATCACATCTGTGTGGCGCAGTGGCTGCTCCTGGTGCTGAATGCTAGCATAGGAGCCCGATGGAGCATGTAGTGTCCCCTTCACTGTGGCTGTGTGCTTCGGAGCTGATTTATGATCTCATGTGACCCTCATCGTCAGCTGGAGAGACACCGAACGCTGGGGTGCCACTTAGGAATGTGGATGTCCTCAGAGAAGTTTTGAGGACGTATTTATTCCATTTTGGGTTTCCTTTTATTCAATAGACAGCATTTAGGACAAGTCTCATTATTCCCCATGGTTGCCATAGTGATGAACTTTTACTTCATAAAATTTGGCAAAGATCGGGTTCTATTTTTTGTGCATAATCGTTCCTCAATATCCACAGGGGATTGATCCAACACCCCCTTGGTAAATGCTACAATCCTCATATCCTCAAGTACCTTATGTAAAAACATTTTAGTAATGAGACACAGCCTTTGTGCACACAACTCAAGATTACTCATGATACTCAATGAAGCACAATTAATAAAAACTAAGAGACAGAAATTGGTGTTCAACCTGAAGACCAGAAAAGCAAAGCAGTCAGCCACTGGCCGAAACTGGTAAATCTGCCTGCAGGAATCTCCGAATGAGGCTGAGACTGAGAGCTGTCTCCTCCTGTTTGGTAATTCTCTTTAGTTCTGAGATTGAGGGTGTGTACCATATACCACTACTGCCTGGTTTCTATGGCAAGCTAGTGTGGCTACTGGGATTAAAGGTGTGTGCCACCACTGCCTGGTCTGTAAGGCTGGCCAGTGTGTCAGTTTTACTTTTCTGATCGTCAGGCAACTTTATTTATCAAAATACGAATGAAATGCCACTACGACTCAATGCATCAAAGACGCTACATAAACAGCTATGCTAGAATTGTAAGAGCAAAGCTTGCTCATGTTTAGTAAGACACAGCCTTCTTCTCAGAGGTCTCAGTCTGTGGTTGGTTGAAGCTACAGATGCAGAAGCCGTGGATACAGAGGGCTGCCTGCGTGTAGACAATGATGTAGTACCATGCCCTGACTTGGCTTGTGGCCCCACAACACTGTCAGGGCTCAGCCATTGGTTGTCCCCTGCCAGCTCCGCAGTCTCACGGTACATTTCCATACTGGAGAAGTCTGATAAATTTAAAATTAAACGTGTAAAAATGAACCAGTCTGCTTGGTGCTCCCACGAGACCAGTTTCCGTGTGCTTGTTTGTCTTTCATCAAGTTCTTGTGTTCTTTTGAAATCTAAGTTGTTTTTAAAGAGTTTATTTTTTTCAGTAGTGGAATTGTGTTTATTTTTAGTCTTAGACCATTAAGATAGTTTACCTTCATCTAGTTGGGAAATTTTCATCAAAACCTTAATGTTTTCGTTTAGAATAAATATAAGGAAAACTACCAGACGCACCTGAGAGGCCACTATGAAGGAGTCGGTATGGACAGGCGTATGCTCCACGCTCTCAAAGTTGGCAGCCTGGCCAGCAACGTGAGTTGTGCTGAAGGGGTGATGGGAATCAGCTGGTGGGAGACTTTAGCCAATTGGTTTTTTTTAACCTCTCCTTTAAACATTTGTAGGTTTTGGTTTGTGAAAAAGACCTGCCCAGACCTTTATATGTTAACCAATACAGTAAAAAAAAAAAAAATGTATAAAAATCTTTTAAAGCTTCCAGAGCTCAGCCAAGCGCGAGTTAGTGTTTCTTGCCTTGAAGGATCCATTATAATTGATCCAGGGTAACAAAACGCTCAGCTTCTGAAGGACGCTGTAAAGTGCATGAGTGTGATTCCTCCTTGAAACATCGCGGGATCTCACAGCTTTGACTCTGAGTTTTGTTTAGTTAGCTGATAACTTTGGTTTTTCAGTCACTGAAGACATGCCATGGCTGAACAATAGTTAGAGTGAGGGGGCTAACCAAACTCTAGGGGATAGCATGGCAGCCCCTGCTCTCTCTTCAGCTTTCTCGGCCTAGTTCACAGAGTGCAAACACCAGATTCTAAACCTTGTGGGAAATAAGTGCGCGGAGAAGACTGACTCCACATTCAAATCATCTAAACGTTGGGTTTCTTCTGCTTCTGCGTGCCAGTGCTGACCGTTATGATATAACTGAAATACTCTGAAATTTTAAACTTTTCATTCATTTTCTTAATTTGTCAAGAAGCACTTTCGTTGTAGACCTGCATGCAAGCGTTCACTTTAAACAAAATTGAGGGATCTCATAATTAAAAAGAAAGATAAAATAAATGCACCACACGTGGAAGCTGACTAATCTTTGATTACTTAAGAATGATTTCAATTAGTTAAAGGCAAACGTGTGAACATAATGCAGTTTTCTTCTGAGGTGACGAAAGTGAATTAATTTTGTTCCTAATTATTTAAAGAAATATTTATGATATTCAGAAAAGGTCAGGGGAAAGCCGAAGCTGATATCTCTTCTCTTTGGGTTTCAGGTTGCCTACAAGGCTGATTATAAGCACGACATTGTGGATTATAACTACCCAGCCACCCTCACACCGTCCTACCAGACAACGATGAAACTGGTTCCCCTGAAGGAAGTGAGTCCTCCACTACCCTTGTATTCTATGGCTCACTGTGGAGCAAGGCTTGGGCAGCAAGATAGGAAGGGAAAAATCCCACCAATCTATAGGAGGTTTGGAGGGACTAGGAAAGGGGCCTGCCCCTTCTCTGGAAAGTCCATGCATGCATAACTAAAAACTCGCTTTCTGTGTAAAATATGAATGAGTCTGCTCTTGTCTTAAAAGTCTCCTAAAGTTCAATTTATCCTTGTAGAATCTGAAGAGCTACATCTGCTGAACATATAATAATTATTCCATAGCAATGATGACCTTTAAAAATTAGAATATAGTGTGCTGAAGATTAAGTAGATGTAAGTTAAGGGTGAGTGGTGGTGCTGGCTCTACCTTTTCTCAGGGGTGTATTAGCAAGCATAGACAAAGAGGAGGATGGGTGGATGGATGGATGGATTGATGGATAGATGGATGGATGGATGGGAGATAGCTCTTTTAGTACAGCAGTGAGCCTAACTTATGGTTTGGCATCCCAAACAAAATAATGCTATTAATTAAAATTAATATTTTGTTGTGTTCAGTATTGAAATTTTAGAAAAATATAGAAAAAAGCATAAAGAAACAGAGTAATTTGCTCTCTTAAAAAAGAGTTGACCCAATAGTTTGCCAGCAAAGATATCTTCAATTTAATCTAATAAGTAATCTTGTGAGTGTTCTCTGAGTGCCCAGGTGCCTTCCTACTGTCCCTATGGGCTCAGCACAGCTCTAGGGACTGGCTGGAATTTTCCCACTGGTAGATAGCCCCTTGTGTCTCCCTCTCTTTTGCTGAGGTTAAGATGTGATGGGATTGAGTCAGCTAGATCTGAAACAGTGTCTGGACCATCAAGAGATAAGAGCTGGTAAATGACATCTTATTAAATGAGCTTCGCAAAGGCGAATGCAGCAGGGGATGAGAACCAGAAGGACATAGGGGACCAACACTTTGTGCCTCTTTTTCCCAGGAAGTTTTGTTAGGTTGCCTTGTTATATCCCAACGAAACCAAGACATCTTTTGATTCCAAACATTCTATAGACTGCTTAGCAATTGAAAGTAAAATCATGAGTGTGTGCTTGCAATCAAGTTTTTGAGATCATGCCTAATTAATAGCACAGACAAAATGGCATGGATTTCTACAGCTCTGTATTTCCACTGTGACATAATCCACTACTACAGTTGCGACTCTAGGGCTCGCCATCAAATTACACACCCGAAATGTAGCTAGCTCAGAAAACTAGACTGCAGTGGAGATGGGGTTTAGAGATAGCATCGAAGCTGGAAACATACACGCCCTGCCCAGGGTCATTGCTTGCTTCTGCCTATGTGGAGTAAAATCAAAGCATCACATAAAAAGGGCTGCCATGTCTTGTGTCGCTGCAATCAGCTGGGCCTGAGTTGTGGCTGATGTACAGATGTATCTTAACCTCCTTCCTCTTACTCTCTTGGCTCTGGTATATGTTTGAGCAAATTATTTCGAATGTAGATTATTAACATTCAGGAAGTTTGGGAATTTTTTTTAAAGAGAATTTGTGGTCTTGCCATCTGGTAGCCTTAAAGGTGGTAAAATAGCCATGAAATTGAATATAGTGTGGGTCCTTAATTAGAGGGCATGCCTTCAGATGGATTTTTATAAGCACTAATAGAATTAAAATGGGACTCGATGCTTAGCATGGAGCCTTTCAGAACGTAGATTGAAGCAGTGGCCAAACATTAATGAAACTGGGAAGCTGTGATTAATCACGGAGACTGTTAATTATGTCCTGCAGAGGAAAGTAATTGTGTTCAGTGGCATATTTAGCGCAGAATTATCAGGAAGGAATGTGCTATTTTAAAAATACAGTTTTGTGGCGGTTTATCATGCATAGTTCTGAATCCTAATAAGACTCTATTATGAGCTGATAATTTCCCCCCTCTGAATGAGGAAGTCATAGCACTGTAATCACGTTAGTACTTGACATTGAAATGACTTTATATTCCCCAGTGTTCTCTATATACTCCAGATACACTAAGTTTCTTCTCCTTGAATTATTAATGAGAAGCACAAAAGTGACAGTCTCCAGGCCCAACAGAGCAGTCGGCTGTGCTGGAAGCTCTGCAGTGCCCACGTGTGCTGCTGTAGAGACAGATTTATCTGGCCTTTGTTTGCACATGGAACACATTTCCTGGTCTAAATATACAAGGGTTCTCACTGGGGAACCCCGATCCATCTGTAGTCATCCCAAGCCTTCCAGAGCTTACAGAGCAAAGACCCAAGGGCCCAGACTGAGGACCGATTTGCCAGTTGGTCTGGGATGTCTATCATAGCTTTTACCCTTTACTAGCTGAGCAATCACTTCCGTTACCACCTTGGAAGGTCGGGATTATTGCAGGATGGTGTGTGGAGCACTTGGAGCCATGAGAGCTGCATGGGAGCACCCTGTGTTGCCCATCGCTAACTGATATTGTCAGGGACAAGGATGACGTCAGTAGAGGGGTGACTGGGAACAAACAAGCTGGAAGCCAGCACACTCAAGGTGGCTCTCAAGTTTACTTCATGCATGATATATATAAAACTATGTACTTAACTTGCCAGCTGTCAGCATCACAGCAGACCTGGAGTGGGAAGTGCTGGGAGACTGGGCTTGCGATGGGTGTGCCTTTTCCAGAGGACAACACAGCCTTTTTCTCTGTCTTCTGGCATTTATGTTCATTCAGCTCCATTTTCTGTAGTGTGCCCTGGGAGGAGATGGTATGAGTGTCTTGTTTATGGCTGTATACGCATCCATCACTCGTTCTCAGCATCTTCTGCATCCCCAAGATTCTGCATTTGCTGCCCTTTACTGGAAAGAGATGCTTCTCTGATCAAGGCCGAGAATAGCATCATCTATGGCCAGAAGCACATATACTTAGGAGTCAGCTTGGCATTATTTCAGTTTAGGTAACTACTGTATTCAGCCCCCACCCAGGGCCGATGATCTCAAGACATCATCATGAGTCTTTGAGCTCTGCTTACACTACCAGGCATGGATTCTTTCCAAACCAATCAGAAGGCTGTACAAGAATAGATCTAGCAAAAGTCAGGCATGGAGGAAGAGGAGTTAAGGAGTAGCCGATCTCTTTCTGTTGAACTATTTTCTACTAATAGATTCAGGGAGACGACAGGGGTCATTGCCTTCAGTTGTGCACCCACTGGAGACCACACTAGGAGCCAACTGATGCTTTTAGCCTGGTGGTTCCAGATGACCATGGTTAAACTAAATGAGCCATAAAATAAAACCCCAAAGCATCAATTTGGAAAAGAGATTGGTGAGAATTGGGGGAGGAGTTAGTGAGAGTGGGGAGAGGGGTTAGTGAGGATAGGGAGAGAGGTTGGTGAGGATGGGGAGGGGGTTGGTAGGATGGGGAGGGATTAGTAAGGATTAGGGGAGGGACTGTTGAAGATGGGGGGTTACTGAGGATGGGGGTAAGGGGTTTGTGAGGATGGAGGGAGGGCTTGGTGAGGATGAGTGGAGGGGTTGGTGAGGATGGGGGAGGGGTTGGTGAGGATGAGGGGTGTGGGAAAGAGGGTGACTGGAATACATTGTACACAAGTATAAAATGGTCAGGTAACAAAAATGATCATTCAAACACCTTGTGAAAAGAAATATTGAAAACCAAATTTAGAAAGCCCCGTGCCTTGGAGCTCTGTCTTTAGAAGTGACAAAATGCCGTGGGATTTTAAAGACTGGAAAATTATTCAAGAAGCAACCCCATTAAGATTTGCTTAAGCCTGGATTGTATACATGTATTTTTAAAGCTGTCAATGACATGTGTGTCTATTTGCTGTGTACATGCTTTAAAACATGTATACATTGTGCGACATCTAAGCTGAGTGACTGAGCCCATTGGCTCAGAATACTGCAGTAGTTTATTTACACAAGAAAGTGGACTTATTGCTTCTTAGTAACAACTGGAAAACAGAGCCACTGTGCGCCCCATGCTGGTCCCCAAGGCCATGTGAGGAGGCCCAAGCAGAGGGGGCAGCGGGTAGTGCGACTGCCCTGACCCACCCTGAGGTCCTGGGTGGGTTTGCCGGACTTAGGCATCCAGGCCACAGGGAGGCATTCAGCAGGGAGTTGCCACTTTGAGTCAGGCCACAGCTGGGCTTAGATATTAGTGGGACTATATCAGCCTGGGATGTCTAGGCAGTGGAGGCTCCTCAGGAGTACCTGTGTGGGCAGGGCTATGTCTAACTGTTCTTGATCTGCGCAGGCGCCATGTCTGTTGAAAGAACGATAAGTGGATGAAGTCAGGCACGTGGGAAGCGAGATTAGGGATGAGTGTACTTCTTACACTTTTCCTTGGATTTCTGGTAAATGAAATTGTGACAGTCGGTGGCCAGCCACTGCCTCTCTTCTTTGACTTCACTACTCCTCTTGTTACCCTAAGTAGGTTTTGGGGTTCTTGCTCACCTCAACTCAGTCCTTCTAAATGTTGTCTACCTTCAGGCTACAACTTGACTTCTTTTCCATGATCCCTTTCTTTCTGGGTCATGGTCAGGTGTATTTAGAGGAAAATGAGCTGGTTGGTGCATGTGTTCTTGTGTACCAATGACTGGTAACACTTTACTCTCAGAAAAATAATTTGCATCTTTAAAAATGAAATCTTGTATCCCCAGTTGTCTAGAGGTAGGAAAGGTGGTAGCTAATGCAAGAAGCTTTGCGGGGAACCCCCATGCCCTCTCTCTCAGGAAGACACTGAAATACGGGTGGTTTCTTTGGGGACTGTGGAAAGGCAGAAGTGAGGCCAAGCAGCAGCTGGTGCACATGCGCAGGCGCCATCTCTCTGGTCTCATCAGGACCACCTCTTCAAGGATCCCAGAGGATGCTTTGCATCATCAACACACACATAGGGCCGAGGCATCACTCAGTGGGAGAGAGCTCACCCAATGGGCACAAGGCCCTGGGTTTTTTTGTCTCAGAGAGATAGACAGGGTTTCTCTGTGTAGCCCCAACTGTTCTGGAACTCATTCTGTAGACCAGGCTGACTTTGAACTCACAAAGATCTGCCTTCCTCTGCCTCTGGAGTGCTGGGATTAAAGACATGCGCCACCACCACAGGCCCAATTTTTTTTAACACATCTTTTTTATGAAGTATTATACATACGGAAAAATTCTATTTAGTGTATATAGACACCTAGTTACTGCTGTTTATGAGACTCTTGATGTGGGTGCTAGGAACCAAACCCTGGTTCTCTGCAAGACCTGTGCATGCCCTTAACCATCTATCTGGCCCCTTGGTTGTTTTATAAAGTGACCCTATGTCTGTTTTCACTAGCAGTGAACCTAGGGATGGAGTTATTGGGATAGAGATCTTGCATTTGTTCTCAAATGCAGTTCAGGATTCCAAGTGTTGTTACCACAGTTGTGACCGCACTAATGAGTCCCCAGAACTACCCTGTCCTTGCCAACACTTACTGTTGCCAGTAACTTTGCTTCTCATTCTGTGGGTGGATATAGAAGGGCATTGCTCATCTGGTGACTAAGGTAAAGACACACATTTCCTATGTTTGCCGCTGAGTTAGCTTATCTCTGCTGTGGTCCTCTCCCAGTTATTCTCCCCCTGTCCACTCCCGTCTGTTGGCTTGGCATGCCCACTAGTACACAGTTAACAGTCTTCATTCTTTTTCTAATTCCCTGAGAATCACTACACGCTAGAGAAGGGAGCCAGGCATGTCATAGAGATAACGGCAAGTGACATTCCCTATACCTGTTTTTGCCTAGGTCAACTACAGGCAGAGCATCGACAAACTGAAGTACAGCTCGGTGACAGACACACCTCAGATTGTCCAAGCCAAAATCAACGCCCAGCAACTGAGTCACGTAAGCATCACATTCCTGCTCAGCTGGGACTTTTGCAATGGCTGTGAAGCTTCTGAATAGCTAACCCCAAGGATTTTGCTTTTGTTAATGCTGGGATAGCTAATAACAGCCATGAAAAGATGCTCCTCCTTTCAAACATCTTATTATAGGGAAGGTCAGTATATGTGAAAGCAGAGTGTATTGAAGTCCCAAGTACCAGCTTCAACAGCTCTCAACTCATCCCACGTCCCGCTTCATCTGTGCGCCTCCCACCTCCCCATCTCTAGTATTCTGAAGAAAACCAAGATACTATCTAGCTTCGTCTCTAGGTATTTTAGTATGAATGTCTAAAATGTAAAAAGAATGAAACATGGTTTTGCAATTTTAATATAGCACACCAAAAATTAAAAAAAAACCCTAACAATAAATCCAACTATCATCAGTGTCCCAGGTCCAGGGCTAATTTTTGAGCAACGCTCCTCACAGATGGCATTGAAGTCTTCCATCAGAAATCACCTGTCTGCTGGGCAGTGGAGGTGCACACTTTTAATCCCAGTGCTCCATTCTGGAGGAAGAGGCAGGCAGATCTCTGTGTGCTTGAGGTCAGCCTGGTCTACAGAGCTAGGGCTATATGGAGAAACCCAGTCTTGAAAAGAACAAAACAAAAAACAACAAAAAAAAAAAAATAGAAGAAGAAAGAATTCACCTGTTTGTTTAGCTATCTTGTGCACATATGATTTAAAATGTACTTTTTTGAAATGTGCATTTGATAACCACACATTATCAATTATTACTACCAACAATGTTGTGTTTTGACTACGGGTGAGTGTCTAGCCTGTGTACAGCAAACGCCCCACACAGCAGCCCATTAAAAATGCCTTGCAAACTCCAAACTCGGATGTGCCTGTGAGCTGTTTCATTTTTATTTGACATCTTCAATCTGTTAAATAAACCATTCCCCCAAATTATAGGTTTTCTTGTAAAGGGCCCTTCTCGGGTGCTCCCTCTCAGGGATGGGAATCAGAGGGAGGTGGGAAAGGAATGAACTCCCCAAGGCTTTCCTCCCGCTGTGCACAAACCTTGCAGATGTAAATCCAACAGGCTAATTACCGGGCTGACTACGAGAGAAACAAGCTCAACTACACTTTGCCCCAGGATGTTCCTCAGCTGTTGAAGGCCAAGAGCAATGCCAAACTGTTCAGCGAGGTGAGAGCAGGGTGGGAAGGGCTTGCGAATGTGAAAAACCAAAACAAACAAATAAACAATCCCAAACTAAGGGGCTCTCCTCCCAAAGAAGGAGCTTTTCTAGGGTGTTCATCACAGCATAATTTAGTATGTTGTCAGTCCCTGGGGATGAACTGTTCATAGCAATGCAGTTCTTGTGTGCACACATGTGTGGCGTGTGAACACACACCCTCATCACCATCACTGTCATCCTCCTGGTGCCTACTATGTGTGGGGGAATTTTAAGTGTCAAGAACAATCTTGATCTGATCAACAAAGACACAGGAAGTTCCCGGGGCGGCTGTTCCTAAACCACTGGTCTAGATGGAATTTACAGGGCAGAAGAATTCAAGACAGGGCCTGCTGCTTTCTGCAAGATGGTTTTTATGTTGAGGCAGAGGCTGTGGCAGCAAAAATGTGATGAGTGACCCACTACAGTGTGGCATTAGCGTAGCTCCTACTGTGGCACAGGTTTCGATATGAGACGGATGGATTTAGGAGCCACCTTGGTTTCTTGTTATCTGTGTGACTCTAGCAAATACCTTCAGTTTCCTTCCCCTCAGCCTGTGTGCTGATTTGTAGTTAGCACCTACCAAGCGTGCAGGACGGGGCCACACAAAAGCTGCTACCAGGCAGCACCCGTTCCTTGCGTCTTGGGAACATTCACCAGTTTAGGATTTGTCTTTGTGCTCCACACCTAGCAGCCTTGAAAACGCTATACGCATTTTAATATTGGTTAACCGCAGCTCAGAGACATAATTGCCCAAAGTCACAGGTCCAAGCAATGGGGGCTTTTCTTTGTCCTACCTCTGGGGTGAGTGGCACTGAGGATCAGTAAGATGTGTTAGCCATTACTGTGACAGTCTTGACAATACCAGCCACGACTCCCCTGCCTTCCAACAATGGAGGAAACCAAGTTTGCTTTAAAGAAGAAAACCTCTCAACCTCTGGCAGACAAGAGGGAGGGGCAGTGGATCCCTATCACCTGTGTTTTTATTTGTAGGTGAAGTACAAAGAAGGCTGGCAGAAAACAAAGGGGAGAGGATTTGAAATGAAGCTGGACTCCATGTCTCTGCTGGCTGCCAAAGCCTCGGGGGAGCTTGCTAGCGATGTAGGTTCTTCTCGTTAACTCAGAGATGTATGAGGAATGGTTGCAGCGCAATGCCAGCGCCTGCTGGAAAAATAATGGCTGTTAACACTGTAAACACCACAGAACTTTAATCTTCTTCTGGGTGTGAGAGAGATGAGGGGCTTTCCCCCCCAGAATTGTTCTCTTCCAACTTGTTACAGTCAGAGTCCCTTCTATGGCAGTTACTCTCTTGTTCACATGAGACTTTCTGCTTCCTCTCAAGATTAAATACAAAGAAGAATATGAAAAAGCCAAAGGCAGAGCCCTGGGAACCACCGACTCTAAACTTCTGCATTCTCTGCAGGTGGCCAAGATAAACAGCGAGGTAAACTCCCCCTACCCCAGCCCTGACTCCAAAATGACAGGTACACTCCTGGGCAAAGCTTTCTTTTGACACCTGTGCCTGCAATGCTTTTCTTCCTGGGCTCCTATGAGGGACTTGTTCACTTTTTTTACTTTGCCTAAGCTTGGTGTTCTTTAAAAGTACGTGAGGTGTATGCCCTGAGGAAGACAGCATCTACTGATCAAGGCTCATAGGCTCTTGAACACATCTGTTAATGCCACACATGTTTGCTGGGACCCTGGATCTAAAATAAGAAAGAAATGCTCGCAAGTCCCCCCCCCCCCCAGAGAACTTAGCTCAGAGGGGAGAGTGTCTTAGACCATTGTTCTGCTGTTATAACAGAATGCCAGCGATGCCCCTTTGTGGAGCAAGAGCTTTGCTTTGCCACGTAGTTCTGGAGGCTGGAAAGTCCAAGGATGTGCAGCTGTGTTTAGTAAGGGCCTTGTGTTGCACAGGGTGAAAAAGTGTGAAGGGGAACGGATGTGTGTACAAGAGAGAGCATACGATGGCCTTGCTTTCTATTAGGAACAGCTGTTCTTATGGTAATGAATCCAGCCCCACAAGAAGCAACAATAATGTGTTCGTGTGTCCCAAAACACGAACACTTCTACTTGGCTCTGCCACCACCACCACCATCATTACTACCACCATCATCACCACCATCATTACCACCACCACCACCACCACCACCACCACCATCACTACCACCACCACCACCGTCACCACGACTATAAGTGGCATCATGACCACCATCCTCTCGGCCATCAGTCATCATCATTGCTTCCATGGATACCGCTGTGGCCATCCATCATCCTTACCATCACCATTGCGTTCTCGTCATCAGTGTGTGCTGTTTGCATGTGATGGTCCCTAGTCTAAGCACATTTCTTCCTCTATATTAATATTCATTACAACAGTTTCCTGAAGCAAAGTGGACCCTAAGGGAGTTGATTTGCCTTTCCAGAGGCTGCCCAGCTGGCAAAGGCCAGGCCAGGCTTGAGTTGGGGTTGTTTGGCTCTGCGGCCCGTGCTTTGTTGTTTTGCCTCTGAAAGTCTCTGCAGAAAACATCAACAATGCCTTCTCTTGCATCAGTCATGCACAGGGTGAGGTTTGGTAAAAGACAGTCCTAGAGACAAGGGGTAGGGAACAGTACCAGTATGACCTTGGTAACATTGACTTGGGGCCACCTTTCTAACAGACAGGTGGTCTCACCCAGAATGCCAGATTTCTGAGAGCCCGAGAGTCTCTCCCACACTTTCACAGAACTCGCGCAAGAACAGTGTTAAATCAATGATTCTTGTTTTGTTGCATTCAAGGTTGAATATAAGAAAGGGTTTGAAGAGAGTAAAACCCATTTCCACCTGCCCATGGACATGGTGAACCTCAGGCATGCTAAAAAGGCCCAAGCACTCGCCAGCGACCTTGACTACAGAAAGAAGCTGCATGAATATACAGTGCTCCCTGAGGATATGAAGACTCAGTGGGCCAGGAAAGCCTATGGGCTCCAGAGTGAGGTGAGTGAACCTATGCGGACTCCACCCATGCACCTTGCCCTTACATGCAATCTCAGAGTGATTGGAGCCTGTTCGTAAGTCCATTGTATGACACAGAGGACTAGGAGGAGCTAGAGCTGCGCCAGGTCCAGGGAGGACAGACGAGAGAGAGAGAGAGAGAGAGAGAGAGAGAGAGAGAGAGAGGTGGGTGAGATAGAGACTCAGGATGGGGCGGGGCTCAGAGCCAGTGTGAAAGTCAAGATGTACTAAAGTGACATGAGCCAAGGAGGAACATGCTGGAAACATTGGTCAAACAATATGAGATACCACTTTTGGTCAGTCCGGTGTTTCAACACTGAGGTAGAATATGCTTAACTCAATCACAAGGGCCGTCCAGCAGCTTTTCCTCCTAAAGGAAGACCTGCTGAGGATATATGGGGAGTGGTTTTCTTCCATCAACTTGGTTGTGTGTCAGATGAGAGCTTGGTGGCATTTCTCTTGCAGCTGCAGTACAAAGCTGACCTGGCATGGATGAAAGGGGTCGGGTGGCTGACCGAGGGCAGTCTCAACCTAGAACAGGCCAAGAAGGCTGGACAGCTCGTCAGTGAGGTAACTCGAGTGTCTGTCCCTGGGCTCCAGCCCCTGAGTCACAGAGTGCTGGTTCCCTCCGGCACCCTCTTGCACCTCCAGGGCTTTAACCTGAATGAGTCAAAGGGAAGACCCATCTTCATGTCTCCCCGAAATGTCTCCCCATGCCCTTAAACTTCCTGTAGGAAACTGTTTGTTTTGTTTTGGTTTTTATTTTTGTTTTCTTGACACAATATCTCCCTATAGAGCCCAAGCAAGCCCTGAACTACAAATCCTCCTGTTTCTGCTTCCTGGGTGCTGGGATTACGGAATAGTGCCCTTTGCCAGCTCTGGGTGCTGGAATTATGGAATAGACAGAATAGTGCCCTTTGCCAGCTCTGGGTGCTGGGATCACAGAACTGTGTCCCCATGCCCAGCTCTGGGTGCTGAGATCACAGAACTGTGTCCCCATGCCCGGCTCTGGGGAGGTATTTTATGAAACTTATCAATTTATTTTGAGAAGTAGTCTTTTTAAAAGACTATTTTTTTTTTTACCCCAAGCTCCCAAGATTCTGAAGAGAACATCACGCACTCACATCATGATATTTGGTACCACACATCGAATTATTGAAAATGTTACATAAAATTGACCTGAGATTATAGCTATCATAAGGTATATATGAAACATAAATGAATCTAAGTTGGAGTCACATCCCCAAAATATCTCAATATGTACAAATACACGCCCCCCCAACACACACACAAACAAATCAACACAGAGAACAAAGTTCCCTGAAATCTGAAAGGCTTCTCATCCCAAAAAAACAACCTGTGATATCTTTCTGACACAATACCATGGGAACCAGAGTGTGGCATTTGTAGTGAGTGTTTGCCACACTTTCTGGAGACGTGGGTGGGATCACCACGCCTTGTGGACCCTCTTCTCATAGAAAGTGAGACAGCTGCATAGAGACACTGCCAGGCCCGTGGTCCAAATCGTCACATCTGGTTATGTCTTGAGGAGCTTAGGTTTGATGGTCCAGTCTGTCATGGAGGGGAAGGCATGGTGGCAGGAGTGTAAGGTCATATGACACCCACAGTTAGGAAGCAGAAAGAGATGGATGCTGATACCCACTTCTTTTATTGATGATGATGATGTCTGGATCCTTAGTCCCTGGGATGGTGCCACCCATATTCAGGGTGTGTCTTAGCACCCCAGTTGAACCCATCTGGAAACACCCTTAGTAGCACAAACAGAGACTGTGCCTCCAAGGTTGATTCCCCATCCCAGCAGGATGGAGTGAGGATGTAGCATCGTGCCTCTGTTGGGGGTGTGGGGTATACGGTTTCTTCTGAACTGGAGTTTGGCATTTGTAGTAAGCCTTCTCTTAGGTCTATGTTTTCATTTTAAAAGAAGGGAATTTGAGGTCCCCAACATCCCTGTCACTATTGGGTCCTTAAAATACTGCAGAATTCTGCTAATGGCACTAGAAGCCCTGGTGGTACCAGCTTGTGAGTTCCCTACACTATGGCTTGAACAAGTCATCCTCGGAGGCCTCCTTTCTCATCCATCTTGGAAACCCCAGTGGAAAAGTCAGAGGAAATAATCCTCAGGAAAGACAAGAAGTCCCCGCGAGGAGACAGAATTAGCACATTTGAAAATTTGCCAATTAGTTACTGACTATGGGACAAAGACAGACTTCAGACAAAACAGACCTCAGAGATACAGAATGACATATGACCTCTGACCTTTGACCCATTGCTTTGATGTTCCTCTTGACTTAGTTCCTTGGATACTTATGGGGACATCATAGGCAGTGGTGATGGAGAGGCACCGGCCTTGTGTTCTGTATACTTAGGTCACGTGGAAAGAATGGGCATTGAAGCATTTTGTTCACCTCAGGGTGACAGAGGTTCCTTCCTCATTATCATTGTACAGCTGAAGGAATAGGGTCTTGGGTCTGTTTAAGAGACAAACGCTGAGTAAGGGAATTGGAATGTGGTGGAGGTGAGATTTGAACCTGCCTTTGTAGTTTTAACCAAGTTTGCTCCACTTCGCCCTCTAGTGTCAGACCTCAGTTTGGGAGACAGATCCCCCCTCTCCCCCATTGTACATGGGACAGTGCAGGGTTTGCTGAGAGACACCAAAGATCTCACCAGTCATCGCAAGGAGAACAGACTCGTGTGAAGCAGAGGCAGGAGAAGACCCAAGCTTCTTGGCCTGCCAGTGTAGTGCAAACAAGCTCCAGGTTCAGTGAGAGACCCTGCCTCAAAGAATGAGGTAGAGAGAGGTGAAGGAAGACACCCAAGATTGACCCCTGGCCTCTACAAGCATGTGTTCTCACACATATGTGTACACTCTTGTATGTGTACACATACACACATACATACATACACACTCTCTCTCACACACACACAAGCTGTGAGGTTCTGTTTTGGGACCTGCAATGCCCCCTTCCCTGCCCAAGGAAATGTTTGAGCCACAAAAAGTACAAAAGTGTGTGTGCACGCGTATATGGCGGAAGGGGACAACCACACCCTAACACTATGGGGTACCTTTCCTTTGCAAATAGAAAAACTACCGACAGAGGGCCGACAAACTGAAGTTCACCAGTGTGACCGACAGCTCCCAGATGGAACATGCCAAGAAGAGCCAGGAGCTGCAGAGTGAGGTCAGTCCTGGGCTGCCCTGGCGGCACCAGTTTACTGTGTCATGGGCCTGGGATCTCTGGAGACAACCGCAGGTGCTGCCCAGCCGCAGCTCAGGAATCAGAGAGCCCCTCTCAGGAGTCTGGACCTGGTGTGCTGCAGGCCCACGTCTGCAGATAAACCATTAGCCTCCCAGTTCTGTCAGCACACCCTGCTCCTCCCCAGTCACCAAGATAGACGGATGCCCTGCTGCTTTTGCTGCCAGGATTTCTTGTTTCTCTCTCTTGTTTCTCTTTATACTGCCCTTTATCCCAGACTATAATTCTAAATTAACAGAGAATTATGTTGGAGGAGGATTTGCTTTTGGCCATGTGCCGGTCGAGTTCACATAAGGGAGTCAGAGCAAGGTACCATCTGTGTCTCTTACAGACTGCTGTCCAACCCAGAGCCCTTCCACCAAAGCCACTGTCTGCTCCTCCTAACCTCCCCTCCCACGGGTCCAGCAAATGCTACACCCCTGCCAGAAAGGCTGCCGGAGGCAGGGGTAAGCTATTGCTTTCAAACACAACTTTGGGAGGGGAGAGAAGGAGAGAAAGTAGAGTCTGTTTCCATGGATAAGCTGTCCTGGTCGCTGCCCACTTCCTGGAGTCAGTTACTTCCTTCCAGCCTATGAAGGCTGATCGTGGGGTGCAGGAGGGAGTGTGCTTCCTGCCCAGTCCCTCTGGAGCTCTTTGGGTGGGGAGAGTCATTTTTGATGTTCACAGGGGGATCTAGATGACAATAGATTTGGGAGGCCAATGGCAATTCTAGGGAAAGATGTGGAGGCAGAAAACCTGGAGGATGTTTATGTTGCTCTCTGCCCTAAACATTTTTTCCCGTGTTATTTCTTAATGTCTGATATATAGAGATGAATACTTTATATTGGTATGGACTTTGGTCTATTGATACAAATTTAAGGTCGATTTGCTACACTGTGTATATGTATTTCTGCTCTTGTTTAAGGTGTTGTGTTTGTGCAGCTCATTTTAAAATGTAATGTATAGTTAAGAAATGTAGATTAATAGATAGTGACCTGTAATAATCAAACATTGTAGTCATGTTACTTAGGTTTTCTAGATGTACAGAACTATATTTTAGATAGTTAGGTTATCTTCAAACACTTTAAAGAATTGTAGAATATGGCATTTAAATAACAGGATTCTGTTGGCATGAGATATGACTGCTCCTGGCAGCACTAATCTATTCCTGAGAGAATATGGGCACTGGGGATACTCCACTTGGAGCTTGTTTTCTTCTTGGCAAAACTGACCTTGAACTCACAGAGATCCTCCTGCTTCTGCCTCCTGAGTGCTGGGATTAAAGGTGTGCGCCACCATGCCTGGCCTATAGGATTGTGTGGTATACTTGTAATATGTTTTATATTATAATAAGCAAAAATGGTTTCATTTTCTTAGAGACATATGCTGGAGCATTGTCTGTCTTTATTTGTGAAGGTATACCCCTGATGGCCATAACTTCTAGCATATGTGTGATTATTGAATCAGCCTTTTCTGAACTCAAAGTAGTTGTTCATCGAAAACATGACTAGGTATTGATGGTGTGGTGTACATATTTTAATTTTCCAAATTCTATAAAGTGTAGCAAATCCATCTGTCAGATTTCATTTCTTTGAGTACCCTTTGGGTTAGTCCCTGCAGGTAGCGGTGTTTGGTTATATAAAGAACAAGTAGAACATCTCATTATAATGGCCTTAGCTTGTTGCCATGTAATAGAAAAGCCTTTGCTATTGACGTGATGATTTTTATGAAATTCTGAGGCTTGCAACATGCTTCCAATCAATAATTGATCAATTTCTGCATTACCTTGTGCTAGAGGACCTGGCAGACCCGTATGGGGATAGGATTGTGTTATGTATATGGGACAAAGCCTATTTCTGATTATATCTTGAACCTGAATAAATAAAGAAGTCAATTCTGTATCATCTGGTATAAATTCAGTGGTTTTGATATGCAAAACAACTCTTTTTGCATATTGCAAATCAGTAACTATATTGAGAAAAATTTTAAATCCCTAGTACCACAAGAATAGCATATAATTCTGCCTTTTGGACATAATTATAATGGCTTTGTTCCACTTTATTTAAATCTTCCAATTTGTAACCTGCCTTGCTGATTTATTTGCAACAGTATAGAATATAGGGGCTCCAGTTATTGGTGTATCACGTACAATGCGGGGAAGGATCCAAGTAGTTGTCTTTATAAGGTTAAGGTTGTTGCTTTTGGGATAATTGCTATTAATTTCTCCCAAAAAATTAATACAAGTTCTTTGCCAGGGTTCATTGTCGTCCCATAATTTTTTAATTTTATCATTAGTAAAAGGTTCTATAATCTCTGCCAGGTCTACTCCTGCTAATTGCACTGGTGTTCCATATTTGGTTTTTTATGTTTGCTTTTTATAGATAAGGATCTTACTCTATAGCCCAGGCTGGCCTGAAACCCTCAGCAATACTCCTGCTTCAGCCTCCCTAGTGCTGGGATTACAGACATAAGCATGTATTTCCTTTAACTGACTTATAATATTTATACTTAGTTATGAGGTACAGTATTATAATCTGATACATGAATATCATGTATGGTGACCAAACCCCAGTGGTTAGCATTTCTAATTTTCAAATATGATTTCTGTATGTTGGGAACATTCAATGTTCTTGGTATTTCTCTCAAGAATGCAAAATTAATTGCTGTAGACCAAGGGTGGCCTACATATGTGTGTGTACATACATATCTGTGTACTTCCCTGTATATATACATGCTATATAACAAAACTTCTTCCCAACAGCTGTATTTTTGTATCTATTATGCATCTATTCTCCCTGACTCCTGTCCCCTCCCCCCTTTTTTTCTACTTTTATGAGGTCACCTTTTTCAGTTTCCACACACGAGTGACATCATGTGGCCTGTGTGCCTGGCTTGTTGTATTTACCCCAGCGTCCTTGATTCCGTGTATGTGGCGCCAGTTATGATGGTGACACACCATTATCCTTCCCCAACCCTGCTCTCTCTCTCTCTCATCAGGTGGCATACAAGGCTGACAATGAGCAGTCTATCCATCAGTACAGCATCAGCAAAGACGAGCCTTTCTTCTTGCAAGCCCGGGCCAATGCTGCTCAACTCAGTGAGGTATCACACAAGGAGTGGGCACATGTGGGCTGTGCTCCCAGTATCTCTACAGTTACCTGGTCATCAAACCCACCAGTCACACTGGTGGTGTCTGGTTCAACTAGAGCGTATCTGGTCATCCCAGAGGATCTGGGTACTGACCAAGGAACCAGGGAAGAGGAAAGCCACCTTCCTAGCATTGGATGGCAGGGTTCTTACGTCACAGAATGGATTCCATGTGTTACTCCAAGAGTCAGAACAGTGGTGGCAGGAGAGATAGAATGAGGGGAGAGGATGAAGTGATTCCCACACTGAAAGGAAGGGAGGCCTTCTAGAAGAAAGACCTTAGAATGTAGAGGCAGGGGTTTGGGATGGGAGGGCAAAGAAAGGCCCCAGGGCCTGGAGGCCGGAGGGGGATGGTGCAGGAGAGAGTCCTGCTGCTGGTGTGTGTGGGCGGACCCAGAGGACAGACCTTCCAATGCTGTCCCGTGGATGTCATGGCATCTGAGATGTTTATGAGACTTCTGTAAGTCTCCTAGGGTATGTTTCTAAAGCCTTTTGAGGTTTAGTCTTTGCTTCTTTTGATGGAAGCGCAACGTGTCAAGAGGCCTTTGGGCAGGACAAAGAGGCAGGGTTCTCAGGCTAGGGAAGGCTGTGTTGCTGTGCTTCCTAGGAAGGTTTCACAGAGTCCAGAGGCCCTGGTCATCTCACCACGGATGACCGCTGCTCTCCTGTGTCTCCCCAGACGCTGTACAAGAGCAGCTGGGAAAGGCAGAAGGCAAAAGGATTTGAGCTGAGACTCGACTCCTTGACGTTCTTGATAGCCAAAGCTAGGAGAGACCTGGCCAGCGAGGTGAGTCCGTCGGTCACTGGGAAGATGCACGGCTCTGCTGCTGTTTGTCTGGGCAGAATCTTCGTCTCCCTGAGCCTCTGGGCTCATGTGGGAAAGCTGTGTGGTTTTACCTTAGGTGAAGTACAAGGAAGACTATGAAAGATCCAGAGGAAAACTCATCGGAGCACAGAGTGCACAGGGAGATTCACGCATGAGCCACTCACTGCAGATGTCCAAGCTACAGAGCGAACTGGAGTACAAGAAAGGCTTTGAGGACACCAAGTCTCAGTGCCACATCTCCCTCGACATGATCCACCTCGCCCACGCCCGCCAGGCACAGCACTTAGCCACAGACGTGGGCTACAGGACAGCTTCAAACTGCTTTACGGCTCTGCCCACAGACATGAAGGTGGAGTGGGCCAAGAAGGCCTACGGCCTGCAAAGTGATGTAAGCTCTGAGCTTGTGTGTGTGTGTGTGTACAATGTGTGTGTACAGTGTTGTGCAGTGTGTGTGTATAATCTGTGTGTAGTTACTGTGTGTACAGTGTGTGTGAAATGTGTGTATACTATGTGTGTATATGTATACAGTGTGTGTGTGTGTGTATGCCTGTGCTGGGTTTGTTGTTGTCGTTTTGAAACCTGTTGTTTCACCAGATCTTTGGGGCAACAATTCATGTTTCTGGGGTACATATTTCTGGACTCCTCAGGGGAAGCACTCTTACTTCCTCCGGGTTAATTGTGCTCATCCTGACTTGAAGTTATATACCAACAGTCAGAGAGACAGAGCTTCTTTTCTGGAATTCTGATTGACGCATGTTCTAGATTTCCCTTTGATGCTAGAGTTGAATGCATTGGTGACTTCCCCAGCCATGGTCAACTCTGAGAGAGTCACTCACCCCTCATTCCAGCTCTAAAGGTCCCCACTTTTTTAATGAGTAGCTCATGGATCTTCAACAGCCCCCTCTCCTTCCTCTTTGTACCCTGTGCTTAATTCTATTTTCTTTCTGTATTTGGTTGGTTCTTGGAAAAGAATGTGTGAGCAGGTCAGTTATAGCCAGGCTGTTACATATAGGTTTCTCTGTCGCTCTCTCTTTCTGTCTGTCTGTCTGTCTCTCTCTGTGTGTGTGTGTGTGTGTGTGTGTGTGTGTGTGTGAGAGAGAGAGAGAGAGAGAGAGAGAGAGAGAGAGAGAGAGAGAGAGAGAGAGAGAGAGAGA